TATGCCTGAATGGAATAGGCTATCCACTATTTCAGAAAAAAGTTCCTGATAATCGTTTTTGAAATGTTGACCACTTCAAACAATATAAATTTCCTTTCGTGCGCTCCAAGACATGAAAAAAATCATCAGGAGAGATTTCTGGAAGTGAAACAACACATAGATAACAGTTTTTGAGGTATGAATTTGAAAAAATTTAAAAAATCAGAAATACCCTGTATACCGGGTGTCCCAGATCTTTTCATATAGCCATCATATCTCAGTTATGTTGCTTGGAAAAAACAACTCCACTTTTGTAAACCCAAATGACTTTGAAAAAATCACTCCCAACTTATTTTTTTCAAGTTACTCACTATACATTATTTGTTTATAATGTGAAGTGCAATCGATCAACGATGAATCACACTTGATAATTTGACAGGTGTCTAATTGACAGATCATTTGGATGATGTACCTACAAATTGACTGAAAGACGCGTACACGAACAACTGTCAAAAAAATCATAACAAAGAAATGATCCACACTGAAACTGTTTCCTTCGATTTTTGTTATTTTGGAAGCATTACGTATGTCAAAATACGAAGTGTGATACATCGTTGATATTGAAATTGATTGCACTTGAAAAAATGAAGTAGAGGATGGTTTTTCAGGGGTAGTTTGACAGAAGTCAAAACTGACAAAATGGTTTTAAAGTCACTTGGGTTTGGCAAAAGTGTAATTTTTTTCCATATTTTTTTCCAAGCAGCATAACTATGAGATATTGGCTGTATGAAAGGACCTCCGTTATTATATATCACAAAGTGCCATACAAAATTTGTCTGGAATGGTACTTCAGTGATGTGTGAGTTCAGGAGAATTTGTCTTTCGACTCTAGGTCTCTTGTCTACACTTCCTCGATGGTATTCCGAATGAACGGGTTTTGGAGCTATTTTATCCCACTTCTGAAATGAACGTGACGCGCTTCGCTTCAATAAAACGGATTCCGAAGCCTCGAATTTAATCGATCAGTGAGAGCGGGACGGTTCTGATGAGATCGCTGGGAATTCGACAAGTGCTAGGCGAGAATTAGCTCAAAGGAAACGAGATCGAATGATTCGGAAAACGTTCATGGAAAATAGTGGAAATTCAGCAGTAGGATTAATTTTTTCGAATGTGGATTTTTAACGCTCGAACGTATTCTCTGTCACTATTCTGTTGAAATACTTGATAGAATTTGATAATGTACAGGGTTATCCATCGAAAAGGCCCAGCCTCATATTTAACTTATTTTTTCTACAAACGCTTTTGATGCTTTCAAATTCCAGCACAAAGTTGACATTTTCCCAGAAATGTCATTTTTTGACAGCATTTGCGCTCGTGAGCGGAAATATTGAAAAAACGCTCGCACATCTCTGTAACCTATACTTATCTTTTCTTGAAAACCCCCAGTTCTTTCATGATGGAAAATAATGACAGTGAATCATCAAACACACCTCCTTTCTGATGATATAGCAGAAAGCGTAAGAGTTTGAATCTCTTACCGGAGAAATCAAGAAAGAAATATGAATTACAATATGATACATTCATAAATTGGTGCCACTCCGAGATGGTGAATATGTATTCATGAAACGTTTTACTGGCTTATTTTGGTAAAAAATCAAAGACTTCGAAGTCATCAACTCATTGGTCTATATTTTCGAAGGTACGTATACATGCTTGAATGTTGAAGATAATATCGGAATCAATAAGTATCTGAAACTTATCGCATTTCTCAAGAAACAATCTATTGGATATAAAGCGAGAAAAATCAAAAACATTCACCGCTGAATAAACCAACAAATTTCTCCAATTACCAAAGATTACCGCGCTCCGCTACGCATCGCGCGGTAACTTTCTTTGTCGAGCGGCAATCTATCACTTTGCGCTCTAAATACACAAATAGCTATTTAATTGAAAAAAAAAAAACAATATGCCGAAGTTGAATGCCGCAATGAGGTCTCACAACAGCCCTCATCAGAAGTTTTTTTTTCGGAATCAGTGATTTTTTGTGATCAAAAATAAATATATATACGTACGATATCATATATTTTCACTTCATTATCAATACTTTTTTGACCACAGAAAAACAATTTTTGTGTGTTAGTTTCTACAGATATCGTGTTATAGTCAAGAATAAGTATTCAGCAGAAAACCTAAGACGGAAATCTCTGTCAATCTCGTATACTACAATCTTTCAGGCGGAGGTTTTCGCAATTGAATTGCGTGATAGAGACTCGACGAATAGACCTCTAGTAAACAAAAACATCAGTCAGGCTGCTCTTAAAGCACTGAGCTTCAGCAGCAAGATAAATTCCAAGCTATAGTTTGGAGCTATATTGAATCCCTAGAATGCCTGGCTGCAAACAACAGAGTTAATTTGCTGTGGGTCTCTGTGTTCATAGGACCAGAACCATACTTTGGGATCACCGCAAGTGCGGCCAAAACAACTATCTCGGAATGGGCGGAGGGGAAAAGACTCACGTACTGGTCTGAATTACCAGGATTAACCCATTCGAAGGCGTTTCTGCCTAAACCATCGAAAATATAACCAGGCTGATCCTAGAATGGAGCAGGGGTATCCTACGAATTCTGACAGGACTGCTTACGGGACACTGTCGTCTAAGATACCACCTGGGCAAGATGGGTCTGAACCAACAAAAGGACTGTCGGTTCTGCTGTGTGAAAGACGAAACGGCTGAACACATATTATGTTCATCCTCTTGCTTAGGGAGATTGAGGTTCAACATAGTTGGCCTTACCAATCTGGAACCTATCGATTTCAGACAAATCTCACCTAATTCAACCAGGGATTGTGTAACCACATGTGAATTTCACAGTGAACTGTAACCTCTCGGGGTGAACCACAATAGACCCAATTCCGACAGGACTGCTTACGGGACACTGTCGTCTCAGTTACCACCTGGGAAAGGATGGGTCTGAACCAACAAAAGGACTGTCGGTGCTGCTGTGTGGAATACGAAACGGCTGAACACTTATTATGTTCATGCTCTTGCTTAGAGAGATTGGGGTTCGAAATATTTGGCATTACCAATTTAGAACCTATCGACAAATCTCACCTAATTCAACCATAGACTAGGTAAAAAGATGTGGATTTCACAGTGAACTATAACCTCTTAGGGTGAGCCACAATGGACCCATCTGAGATCGCAGTAGAGGGGCGGTATTCGTCTCATGTAACCAACCTACCTACCATTGAATGAGGACAATTATTTGACAGTTGTATATTGCATCATATTATCGAATACATTCCCAAACTGATCTAATGATCACCAATATTGGAAAAAGTCATCCATCACCAAGTCATTTCATACTTGAATGAAAATAATATTATTCCAGATTGTCAAGCGGGGTTTAGAAGTGGGTATAGCACAGCAGCAGCTCTCGTTCAAGTTACAGATGACATAATTCGAAACTCTGATAATAAAGAATTGACAGCTCTAGTTGCATTAGACTTTTCAAAGGCATTTGACACTATAAATCATACATTACTTTGTTTCAAATTGAAATATTATGGATTTTCGGATGAAGTAGTCTTTTTATTTCTTTCATATCTCACGAATCGCTGTCAAACGGTATGTTATAATAATGAAATGTCGTCAACACGAAATGTTACTCCTGGTGTGCCTCAAGGGTCAATCTTAGGACCGTTGCTATTCATAATTTATACTAGTGATATATTGACCTCTATAATACAGTACTCTAAAGTTCAGGCTTATGCTGATGATACACAACTATATACCAACCTAAACATCGACAACTATGGAGCTATTCAAAATCTCATTAATTCTGACCTACGAACCATTACTAATTTAGCTACGCAACACAATTTGAAATTGAACAAGAATAAATGTCACTTGATGCTTTTCGGTAATAGAAAGAATAGAACTATTGTCTCACAAAATCTTAAAATTAAAATTGATGACACCATTCTCCCTGTTGTGAACTCTATTAAAAACCTGGGTATTATTTTTGACGCTGACCTAAAATTTGATTTGCATTTGAATGATTTGCTTAAAAAATCGTTTGGTACTCTCAAACTCATTTACTCAAATAGACATTATTTCAGCCAATCAATCAGGAAACTTCTCACAGAATCTTTGGTCTTGTCACGGTTCAACTATGGGGATATTGTGTATAGCAATCTTTTGAATAAATTTGATTTGAATCGGAGACAGAAAGTACAGAACTTCTGCTGTAGACTGGTCTACTCTTTGAGAAAATATGATCATGTGTCTAGCAAAATCATAGAACTGAACTGGTTGACAATGCAAAATCGTACTAATTATAATTTATGCAACTTTGTGTACAAGGTTCTAACTTCCAAAACTCCCTCGTCACTATATAATAAACTGTTTCCTAGATCTACGCTACATTCATTCGATGTAAGAGCAAAAAACATGTTTCATGTACCGCGTCATAAAACGTCATTGTTCCAGAAGTCATTCACTTATCTCTCCGTCAAATTCTACAACTCACTGTTGATCAATTACATGCAATTTTCGAAAACTAAAATAAGAATCATTCTGAAAAAACACTTTTTGAATACTAACATGAATTTAAATGCCTTTTCTTGAATATTCTTAATTCTTATTTCAGCCTTTACTTGCTTCGTAACATTATTTCATATAAGTACATACAGTCTATGTTATAAATTATGTTATATGCATTATGTTTGAACATCTTCTCTCTCTTCCCATTGAACAATTTAGCTTACTTCAACTGTACATCTTAGGTTAAGTGTAAGAGTAGCCTTTGGCTAAACTGCGCCTACTATGTACCTTCACCATTAAAGACGATTTATTATTATTATTATTATTATTATTATTATTATTATTATTATTATTATTATTATTATTATTATTATTATTATTATTATTATTAATTGATCAGACACATTGTTTTTCTGGGCTCTTGCCGAATTGGTGGCAGCAGTGGGATTGACGGAGCGTGTTTTAATTCCGCAGGTTTAACGCCTTCTTGAACGTGCAACGCGAGAGCAAAATAATCAGCATCAAGGAGGAGGGCAACAGCAACTTGTGGAGCTACTTCACGCACTGTGCGGCCCTTTGCATTCTGCTTTCTATAGGCATTTGCAATGCGCCGCTCATACACGATTACACCGTCGTGTACAGGGGCAGCTTGGATGACGTCACTCTGATTTGCATCATCGGAGGCATCCTGCACTTGTTCTTCTGGATCGTCATCTGGCTGTTTTTGACCATCAAGCAGAAGTGGACCTTCAAGATCAGGATCACGGTGAGTGAGCTTCAGTGGCGGATCGACGATTCCTGAGGCCCCAAGATCAATAATTCTTGGGGCCTCATTCCTCCTTCTTTTTTTTTCACCAATTCTTCGATTGATCATACCATCTAATCCAGTTTTAATCTTCTCCTGAAGATGCTTACATAGTTAGCGAAACACGTGTCGAGGCGTTAAAAAAATCGGTTTGGTTAGTGGTAAAACAGTGTAGTGTATTATCGTGCCAAAGGTTCCAGTCTTCGATATATACCATCTAATATTTTCTTCCCAAATACAAACGAAAACAAAACTGAACATTTATAATGATGAAAATATATAAGATATAAAGGAGTGTAGGACCCGATAAAGGATATAGGAAACAAAAAAAACAGAAACATATGAGGAAAATCAGAACCACATAAAATAAAATGAACGTAATTATAACACCAACTAGGATCAGATATATACAAAATGAATACAGATACTAAACCATAACGAAATTACTAGGAGAAACATATTATTACGATATCACTATTCATTTTCTGTTTTTCAAATCGCGAATCATCTTATTGCACCATCATAATATTCAAACTGTTTGTGAAATCACCTTCGATCGAAAGCATTTCCAAAAATTGTAATATTTTCTTCGGCAATAAAAATGTCTATATATGATTTCAATTATTGTTAATTCTGAAAATGGGTGCTCTGCTTCGCAACCGGTCACTAGTTGGGTTAAAAACGCAATTGAAGCACTATTTTTATTGGGGGACCCAACGCATTGCGCTCACTCGTCTTATGCTAGTTACGCTACTGGAATTTCCTCAAGTAATCACATTGGAATTAGGAAAAATAAATTGGCAGCAATTACTAGGAGCTAAAGTTGAACTTTAGCTCCAAGGAACTAAAAAGTACTAGAGGTCATCAAGAATAAACAACATTGTTATGGTTGGTTATTTGGGTTGAGACTCATACCTGATTTTTTCCGATTTCGACAGATTTGGCATTTCATACCCATGCTGGAGATATAAATACACCTTGTCTTAGTATAGTTTGTGAGTATTCAGACTAGTGCATATAATTAAGAGTATAGTTGAGTATTTTTGTTTTGATCAGGAAAGCCTTCAAGATTCACATACTTGCTTGATCTGTATTTCATTCGTTATTCTCGGGATGGATAACTTGTTTTTGAATAATCACGGCCAGCAACAGTTTTTTGTCTCAAACAACGATATTGTTCACCTACATTTGATTATCAAGTCAAACACAGTGGAGTATGGAGAGAAATAAATAATCGCTATTATTATTGTTGATATGCTAACTAACTTAACATTTTCAACGTCTTGTTCCTATACCTGGCACTGGCGCGGTATTTGCCATTAGAGCATCTGGTCCATACACAAATACAATTAATTCAAACATCCTTGAAAATTGAATAAACCTGCTGTTAATGCATTTGAGTTAATTGTTCCGGTTGCAGAAAAATGTCATGTTTCATTCGGATCAAAAGTGACTTTGTTTGACTCGCAAATTTTGCTTTCGCTCGGCTTCGCTATGAAACAATCTACTATTTATGAATAGGGAGTCAGTTTGGTCACTGCGATTTAAAATGTCCATATTAGTGGCCTTTTGGAGCAAATCATCTGGTTCGTGAAAACGAGAAATCACATGTATAATTTCAACATTTAGGTAAATAAGGAGTAAATAATATGTTTAGAATACCTAGTTATTTTTAGATCATGTCGGTCGTGTAGTGTCAAAATCATTTTCACACTGCCGTATATCTAACGGTGGCTGCTAAAATATCTTATTTGTTTTTGGAAGGTCTATCTTGCCATCTGCAACATGGTGTTCGTCTGAAGTCTTTTATTTTCTCGTTTTCTGTGCGGAATCGGTCTTCTGTTTGCTTTTAGTTCAAGAATAAACACCTGGGGTCATTGCTAACAAGTGTATTAATGATTAACTCCTTCTAATTTTAACGCAAATACTTAGTTCTGTTTGTATATCTCTCTTGGAACTTTATTATCAACAAGATTTGCTATATTGAAGTGTATCATGATATAATTGCACTCATATTTTATGTTGGAATTTTATGAATCGTTAAACAAGTACCTACACGTAATTATTCAAATATATACATTAGTTAATTGTCAGTTGAGATACGATATGTTTGAATATTATTTCTGTATTCCTGATCACAGACAAATTGATCCGGATGGTGGTAGTCTGGTCCCTCTAATATTATATCCTACACAGTATGGAGACTTTTCCTAGAATAAATTCGTTAGCGAAGAGGTGAATATTTTTTCCAAAAAAAAATACAAGTCAAATTTTTGTTTTTGATACGTTTAGCGGTTGCATAAAATTGAAATGTTATTTTGAAATTCAATTTCTTTTTAACATATCAATCGCTCAAAAGGTGTGTTGAACAATTGATGACAATTTTTTGCAACAACACACAACACAACACAACTGCGCTATTTCTTCAAATAAAAAAACTAAAGGCTGATGTTACATGTCTCCTGTGTCACTCGGTATTACTATACTAAAACCAAACAGGGAAATAACAATGATGATAATTAATGAAAACATGAATAATAACTGATGAACATTGAACAGACATAATATGTCAAGCTCCAAATGTAATAATAAAGTTATCGTGACGTCATGATAAGTTTAACCTGGTTTGCCTGATTAGCACCAAGGAACAACTACTTCGATACTGAGCTAAGTTTGCTGGTATCGAATTGTTTTGGTGTGAGGAATATGTGGTAAGTTTTTGTATAGGCCTTCTGGGGTCTCCCTGTATATTGCGGAAAGCCATGTAACTATTCGTGATATCGCACGGTGGATGCATCCAGGAAATTACTAGCCGTCGATATGTCACAAACAATTTCCACAGGCGCTAAACTGATTTGTTTTATCTAGCCATGTGCGTATCTGGATGCAGGCTGGATCCGATATTGGATGGAACATTGGTTGGTAATTGATTTACTGCATGCCAGAGTGTCGATAGCTCAGGCTCAGGTCTACAAATACAGTGTGGAGACTTAACTGGAATGAATTCGTTAGCGGAGGGGTGACTATTTTTTCTAAAATTTCCCGACATTCGTCAACGATTTAATTTACCAACCTTTTGCTAGCAATATTGTTGTTGTTGTTGTTCTTTATTACCCCAAGAAACATATTTGTTTATAATAGGGATACATAAACATATGATATATATATATATATATAAAACAATAAAAAAAAAAAACTAATTAACAATTTATGTCAATATAACATAATAATTAAAATAAAACCATTCCAAGTATTCAAATGAGAATAAATTGCTCCGTTTATTGTGTCATGAGTATATATTTTTTCATATTGACTTTGAATCTTGTTTCATCATCAATATGTTTCAAATCATAAGGTAATGAATTATATAAAATGATTCCGTTGTAGAATACTGATTGTTTGCCAATGATGGAGTTATATGGGTTTGCTATTAATGAATTCAACTGTCTCGTTGCATGAGTATGAATTGTATTTACTTCAGTAAAGTTCAAGTTGGATATTTTTATTTTTTTTCTCACAAAATGGATGAAAGAACAAATTTTCATTTTATATAAAGATGATAAATTCAACAGATTTTTTGGTTTGTAAAGATTAATAGTTGGTTCCAGGTAATGTAAATTGTAAATGCACTTAATTGTTTTATTTTGTAATTTCATTAATGGTTTCAAATGTGATATACTTGTGCTTCCCCAAATTGATATTAAATATTGTAATTTTGAGTAAATCAGACAGAAATATATATTCTTCAAATATCTAAGAGGAATGAAATCTCGAATTTTGTATAAAATGCCAGTAATTGGATTGAGCTTTTTTCTCAGGTGATCTATATGTTTAGTCCACGATAATTGTTCATCAATATATATCCCTCCAGGGGTAGCTAGAATCAACTCCAACATGTTTCTTTCAACTGCAACCTATAGCTTGCGGTACAATTTCTTTCAGGTTTCTCTGATTACTGATAGAAGAGTGAAATGCACTTTTGTCAAATTTCATCCAATTTGTTTCACTCATTTCTGAACAGCGCACAAAAATATGTTTGGAAGAATTTTGGCATTTCATCTCTGTTGGCAGGTTATAAAATGTCACCTTTCATAAATTACTTTTTTCCCGTGGGAAAGAAGTGAGTATTTTTCTCCCGGATATATATCACATATACCATATTCACTGTTGATGGCTTTTGTTGTGCTATAGTTCCGAAAAATGAGTCAATAATACCGTCTCCGAGAAAGAACTGCGAGTCCTTTTATCTTCCATTCGACTTCGCGGTTACGTATATTACTAAACAACCACAAAATTCGCAATTATTTGAAATCAAATCATAGAATTGACAGAAGTTATTTATTTATTTATTTATTTATTTATTCTCATATGAATACATTTACAAAGACATACATATTCTAATATTATAAAAATTCTAAATTTTATCTACTTCACATAGGTTATTGACCTGTGTGTGAATTAGATAATTATTATAAACTTTTTGTAAAAAATTTTCAAGTTCTTAAAAATATTTAGATTAAATATTGATTATAAAAAGAATGATAAAGATGCCTACAACGTAGGTGTCCCTACTGTTAAAAACTTAAAATTTCACGTCGATAATCTTCAGATTCCAAAATAATGCAATATCTTCTCAATATTGATTCGTTTTTTCTTCTGTCACAGAAAAAAATAGTGTATTATACACGGGACAAATATTGGATTTCAACTCACGGTTTTTTTTCTCGCTCCGCTACGCGTCGGGAGACAACACAACCTGGAGCTAAAATCTACTACTTGTTCCCCTTGTATAATAAATAACTATGTTTTATGTGAACTTTGAACTCGTCTCACGGACAAACGGTACATTTTTTTGAATAAATTAGTTGGGTCCAAACAACTTATTTTGAACTGTATTAAACGTGGTAGTTCTGTGTTCCAGCAATTTTGGGACACGCTGTAAATATACAGGTTGATTCAAG